TATTCACACCCTGAGAATTAATAGATTTTTGCAAGCTATAATATTTCCTTCCACTTTTACCCACATCCCTCCTGTCTAGCCATTTCTTCATCATTTCTTTTTTGATTATCGCCTTAGCTTCTCCTTTTCCAAGGGGTATATTTATGACATCGTTTGTCCTAGTTGATTTTTTAGCTATTTTGTCTGCTCTCTCATTCACTTTTATACCTACGTGGGCAGGTACCTATCAGAATCTATCCGTAGTGTCTGTAGTCTAAATAAACTTTGTTGGATTGCTAGCATTAGATCCTCTATATTATATTTCACATTTTGAATACTATAAAGGGCTGCTAGAGAATCAACACAACACACCACTCTGTCTGGTTTTACTTCCTCAACCCACTGCAGTCCTACAATAATCGCCATCATTTCTGCCGTGTACACTGAAGCCTGATCAGTTAATCTTTTTCCAATGCTTACATTCACTGTTGGTATATATATTCCTATTCCTACCTTGTCCTCTTCATCTTTAGATCCGTCTGTATATATATCTACGTATTTGTAATATTTGCTCCTTATGTACTGACTTGCCAGATGTCCTTTCCCACTCTCTTCACATTCGCTGTGTAGTTCCAGTTCGAGATAGGTGCAATAAGTGTAGGGGAGTTAAACCAGGTTTTAATTAATCTATATTCCTTTGATTTAGTCTTTGTTACCCAGCCAAAGCCATTACCTTTAAAATAACTATACTACCAACATTCCTGAATAACACTCTTTGGAAGGTTTTCATAACCACATCCATGTAAGCGGCTCCAGTACGTAAGCATGTAAGCAAGTCTGAGGGCACTTCTCCTATACTCAACCTCGATTGCTTAAATTGGTGTTGATCTCACCAGCACAAATCCTCAATGCTTTGTTACTAACTCTATCCAACTTCAATAAATGTGTTTTAGCTGTTGCTCCATATACATACATATAGCATCCATAATCTATTGTTGACCTCATTAGAGCCCGGTAAACATACATTCATGATTGTTTATTTGGTCCCCAGTCTCCCACAATTTCAAATTCCTCAGATACGTCTGATCCCACTTTAACTCCAAATCTTCTTTCTGACAGAAAATCTAAGACCCGGTTATAAAACCTACCTCTAATTCCCATTTTGTTCATTTTAATCAGTAACCCTTCCCTCCACATGGAATCATAAGCTTTTTCAATATCAAAGAACACAACAGTCATTATTTCTTTAATTTTAAATGTTTTCTCTTTCTCGTTGCTTACTTTCACAACAGCATCCATTGTGGAACGCCCTTTTCTGAACCCACTTTGATATGGTGCAAATAATCCTCCATGTTCAAGGGTGTAATTAAGTCTTCTGACTAGTATCTTCTCCATCCACTCGCATAGATGTGATGTTAGGGCGATAGTTCTATAGTTACCAGCATTATTAGGATCTTTCCCAGGTTTGTTAAATGGCAATATTAAGGTACTCTTGCAGCTTTTGGGCATTTTACCTTCTTCCCATATCTTATTAAATAAGTGTAATATTATCTGTAACACTTTTTTTTAATTTAATTTACACATCTCTATTTTCCTTAAGAACCATCTCGTTATGCACTGTGCACACTGGCAAACTTCTTTCCCAAACCATTTGCCTTTTCTTTATCTGTTATTGCCAGTATTCCATCACCCTCTAATTCTGGTATTTTAGCATACACTTTTTTCCCACTCATTTTCTTCAGCATCGACCACACCTCTCCTATTTTAACTTCCCTTTCTATAGTAGAACATATATAGCTTCTCCATGCATTTTGTTTACTATTCTTAATTACTCTTCGTGCCTGAGCCTTTTTCCTCTGATAATTAATTAGATTATCTTGGTTCAAGTTATTTCTTAACATTCTCATTGCCCTATTTCGTTCTTTAATAGCTTCTGTGCATGTATCATTCCACCATGGGACCGTTTTCCTTTTCTCCCCGACTGACTTACCTGGTATGCTTTTTAATGATGCATTCAATATTAAATGTGTAACTTCAGATGCACATTCCTCAATATCACCCTGCATTGAAATTGACTCTGCTGAAATAAAATCCATCCATCCATCATCAACCACTTATCCTGTGTACAGGGTCTCGGGGGGCTGGGGCCAATCCCAGCTGACATCAGGCAAAAGGCGGGGTACACCCTAATACAACATATTTCTTTAAATTTTTCCCAATCAGCTTTAGCAAAATCCCACTTCTTATGTTTAGGCCTTTCTTGAAGATCTATTTCAACATTTATAGAGCAAAATATTAGAAAATGATCAGTTCCAATACTTGTACTTTCTTTTACCTTCCATTCACAAGAGTTTGCCAGATTATTTGAAACTAGAGTGAGATCAATACAAGACAGTGTGTCAGAATGTATGTCGATTCTTGTGCCATTTCCATTACTTCTCCATTACTATCAGTATACTTACTTCCCCAAAGGCTATTATGAAATCTCCGCACCATATTCCTTTCCCATGTCCTTGTCTCCTTATTATTTCCTCTAAGGTTTCTAGGCTTAATGATTTACAAGGGTTATATAAGTTGATTACTACTAAGTGCTTGTCTGATTTGTAAATTTCAGTAATTACACATTCCATTTCTGTTGTAGTTTCTATTCTTTTAAATGGTATCCCATTCCTTACAAATGTTTCACATCCTCCACCCTGATTTCTACCTCTATCAACACCTAACAGACTCATAACCAGGTAAAATAAAATCAAGGTGAGGCCGTAGCCAAGTTTCTTGAATGCAAACAATATCAGGTTTAACTTCAGACTCTAAGTACTTAGCATACCATTTATATCTTCAGCTTTTAAATCTCTGATACCTAAGAACTCCTCTGACAGCTTTTACCCCTACCACTGTCTTGATCCTGTCACTTTTTCTTTCTTGTTGTGTGGCAACATTCACAATTTACATATAAAAGCTACAAAGCTCTTCTTTTCTACCATGAAGGTGGTCTCCTTCACTATACACTTGTGTCTACATGGTTGCTGTGTGGTTACCGGTGTTGTGTCTGCTGGTCCTGGCTGAAATCTCTTATGCCCAACCTCTGGGGTAGGCCTGCTCCATGCCTTGCACTTTCATTCAGGTTTTCATGATACTCTGTTGGTCTGTTTTCCTTGGTTTCATAAGTGCCCGTGCTTTTTAAAGCCTCTGCAAATGACACATTATTCACAAACTTGTACCTCTGTACACAGCATTTTAACTTGGCATCCTTTTTACATTTGCCATATTCATGTTCTCCTCCACATTTCGCACATCTTTGTCTCCATTTACATTGTTGTACTGTATGTCCCATTCTCTGGCACTTAAAGCACCTTAACGGTTGGGGAATATACTCCCTAACTTTGTAATTTATCCATCCTATTCGGACTTCACAAGGAAAAGATTTTTCAAAAACAAGCAGTACAGATACAGTACAGGCTGTCTGATTTGACACCACATTTATTAGTCTTTTGGCCTCTAATACTTTCCCACCTTTTATCTCACTCTTCACATCCTCCACAGACATTTCCAGAGGAACATTTGAAATCACTCCTTTTAGCTTTGTTGCCATTCCTGGTACATGTGCTTTAATCTTTCCACCACCAAGGTGTTGTGGTGGCAGCCTGGCTGACGGTGAGTGTCCTGGTTTTTTCTACTTTTTATCAGTTTTTCTGCTTTTTTCCTTGGTTTCCTGTTCTCTGCCCGCCTCTCTGTGTTTTCTCCCCCGTGTGCTCTCTCTCTCCCTCTGCTCCTGAGCCCAGCCAACTACCTGCACCTGCAACTCATCATCCACCTCGTCAGCCTGCCACACCTGCCAGTAATCAACCTCATCCCAGCCTGTATTTCAACCCCGGTTCTCCACACCATCCTCGCTTGATTGTCGTTGCTCCATACCTGGTGCCACTTCTGTGTTCAGGCTTCAACGTTTCTTGTTTTTTCAAACTTACCCTGTGCCTTGTCATTGTCTCCCCCTAACCTTGTCTCTCTGTCTGTTTCCCTCCCAGGTACACTCACCCTCGTCCTCCGTTCGGCTGGGCTCATCCACTGGCCCACTCCCCTTCGGACCTCCCTCTCAGCGTCCTCCCTGTTCCCCTGCCTCTCCTCGCTTCCTTGGCCCCTGTGTTCCCCGGCTCCCTGGCCCCCTGTCTCCTTGGTTCCCCGTGCCAGTACTTCCCCGACGTCCTCCTCTCCCTCCACTCCAGTCCCTCTCACCCTTTTTTTCCCCCAATAAACCTCCTTCCCTCTGAATGCTGCATTTGGGTCCTCTCTGTCCACACACCACAACCTGTAACACAAAGTTACTCATTTTCAAAATCATTTCCTGCTGCTTCTTATTTGCTGCTGATATCAGAATTTTTCTGTTACTCAATAGTTTAGCATATTTAATTTCCTCCTTGGAGGTGAAATACCAGAGTTAATGTTAGACTTTTATCATCATTTTAGCATTAAGCTCAATAACCCAATACTATTTTCAAATCATTTATTTCTTAAGGATGGAGAGGTACATACATTAATATAAACCTTTTTAAAATAACAGAAATACTGTCTTACTTCTCTTTTTTTAACCTAGATGTAAATAATAAGCCTGCTGCTTTGATATTGTATTGTTTTTTTCTGTTATCTCCACTGATCCTGCAACGTTAACTAAGGCATGTTTGCATGATGTGTCCTGCCCACATGTTTTCTGTGTGACCAGTGCACTGTGAAGACTCATTATGTTCTGGTGTAGAAATGTGAACTATGTTGCAACTGTGTGTTTATTTGTCATATCTGCCCTAACAAGACTCAGATCATGAATGGATGAGGTATGGTAGAATGCTGATTATGCCAAAGAATCCACATTCCAAGTGGACTGTTTACAGAGGAGGTCTTTTCATGTCGTTTTACGTGCCTCCGTAGGCCATGGGTGGGTCTCATTTGAGTCTTTTTTGGATGGTGATGTTGCACTGAGGGACTTTGAGGCAGAGCAAAAGGGAGCTCTGTTCTACGCAGAGGAAATGGGCGTTCTCTGGAAAAATAAAGAGGTGTGGCAAGGCTAAAAGGGAGAGGACCACCAAGAGGAGCACAATGTTGTAGAGTGGCAAGACTGCTCCTAAGCTGCCCCTGAGATCTGATTCAGAGAAACAGGCAATACCCGACGTAAGTAGATATTTCCTTGACTTTTCATGGAATTTGAATGAATATCTTGTTAAATCATGGCTTTGTTTAGTGTCATTGTAGTGATTCTCTCATCACATCTCCCAATAATAGAAGTTCTAAAAGTAATGGGTAGCAAAAATCATGTCATTAAAAGACTCATGTTTTTATTTTCACACATATTCTGTGCCATATCAGAATCAGAAATACTTTATTGATATTACATATCAAGTCTTATTTTATTTTATTTCCCTCGCCTTAACCATTTGCTTTATTTTTCAACCACTTTCACAGATGTTTTACCTTTCATTCACTTTTATGTGATGGATGATATCTAGTGTAATGACATAATTTGACAGTAATTGTGACTCCACCGCCCACCCAAATGGACCTCTCCTATTGATAAAGATCTACAGACAGTTTCATCCTGTCTCTAATCTCAAGGTCTTTTTTTGTCTCCGAGGATGTATCCTTATTGTGAACTGAAATTACGGTCACTACAGCTTCAATAGCCTCTTAAATGTTTGCTTGTGCAATACTACTGTGGGTACAATGTCAAAAAGCTTTGTAAAATTACAGGCTTTCCCTCAGACTTAAATTTCCTCTATATTTACAAGTGGAGCAGCTTTAATGAAATCCAAATGTAAGTTGAAAAACAGACTGTTTACACTACGCAATGAAAAAGAAAACCATTCAGAAGAGTGGAGAGGTTAATTGGGTAAATATTTTGTAACCATTTACATTTCAATAGGCCTGCCCAGGTTCACTGCAGGTTTGCTGTACGATGGCAACACACAGGCCATTCAAAGAGCAGTTTTAGAAATAACTCATTGCGCTCTGTTTTGAAGCGTGGTCTTGCGCAGCACAGAGTACACTCTGTTCAGCTACTATTTTTCCATGTGAAGTTTCAAGGCAAATCAGGAAAGTTCCCTAACACATGAATTTCAATGTATAATGAACAAACATGTTAAATTGATCACACACCATTTACTTGCTAATGTTGGATGCAGTCACCAGCCAGGAAGTCCACATTTAAACTATTGTATACTATATGTTTGATTTTGGCAGGAAATTGAAAATGGCGTACCTGCTTATGTTTGTGACCCTGCTGCATCTCATCACACTGGCAATGCTGTTCATTGCAACCATGGAGAAGGTAGTGGTCATATTTAGGACATGATGTTTGTTTGCTTTTAATTGTATAACTGAGTTCATAAGTGCAACATATCCAGCTGTGTGTATTGTGTCTAATCTCTCTTCAAAGTCATGGTGGCAGTGGGATGGCATGGAGAACTCAGACCTATGGTACAACTGTAGGTTTGATAACTCCACAGGGACCTGGTTGTGTGCATCCTCCAAAGAAACTGGCAAGCAACAGTTTTATTTTGTATACCATAAAAGTTGGCTTTACATGAACAGTTTTCTCCTCAAGGTAAAATCTGAGAAGTGAGACTGTTTTCTTTTTCAGAGTGGCTTCAGGCAGTGCAGGTCCTGATGGTCCTCTCAGTGGTCTTCTCCTCGGTCTCCTTCTTGGTGTTCCTGGGTCAACTGTTCACCATGTCCAAGGGTGGACTCTTCTACTTCACTGGTCTGTGTCAAGTATTCGCAGGTAACAGTGGAGTGAAACAACGTGCCACTGACGTGTCTCTGTATGATGAGACCATTTGAGAAGGGTGACATTTGCTCTTACAGTACAAATTGGAAGGGGAAGCAAGTCTGTGGTTGGCAAATAAGCCAAATGTTTAGAGGACCCGACTTCTATGTTTTAGGTACAGCAGAAGAATTGTACTAGTTGATTACAAGATCTTGTAGGTGGGCTTGAACCATATACCGGTATGTTTTGTACCTTTAAAAAATATAAACAGTAGGATAATAATTGAGTACAGTGGCTGTAGCTTTTATTTACTCTTTGAACTGGTACAAGATTGTATAATATGGTGGATCATGTATATTTCTGAGGCACAGATTTTGCATTCCTTACAGATATGATGTTCTCTCAATAGGTAGCCTATAAAAACCAAGCAAGTTACAAACATTGCAAACTTTTCCACACATCCCGGTCTTAAAACAAACTCAAATCATATTTCCCTCCTTTTTTTAGGGCTGACCGCCTTTTCTGCAGCTCTCATCTACACATTACACAATAAGGATATCCTTCAAGACTCCAGAGAGCTGACTTCAGGACACTTTGGCTACTGCTTCATCCTGGCCTGGGTGTGTGTCCCCTTGTTGCTGTGTAGCGGGGTTATATACATCCACTTGCGTAAGAAAGAGTGACCAGCAAAAGGAAAGCAATGTCAACAACAGTATTGGAAAAAAAACAAGTTTTACATTGACTAGACTTCTCGTTAATCAGAAATGTAAATTTTGCCAAAGAATCATAATTGCCTTTGTTGTGATTTTTGCTCAGGCTTCAGTTAATGTGATAATGTTTTTAAATTGTAGATACACGTATATTTGGAAGATTAGCATGAAAAACTGGGTTATAATTTAGCAAACATTGAATCCTCAATATCAGTCTGATATATAATGCTCACCACCTGTTTTAAGAAGAGGTTTTTGTTGTGCACTGTTTTTCTGTGTCGACCAAGGAAGGCAAATACCAAAGCAGTGTTATGTACTTTTTTGTTAGTGTTATAGGCCTTATGAGGCATTTGAATTGCTTTTAATTTCTGCTCGAGCAAACTGGAAATATATATATATTTTTTTATACTTAAAGCTGATATGTAGAATATATTCTGTAGCTGCTTTGACTAAATACCACACAAAGAAACAGAATGTGTACAAGTTAATTGTTGTTACCCAAAATTGGTTCTTTCCCATCTTTTATGATAATAAATTAGGCTACACATTTAATGCAAATGATTGTTTACGTTTTTAAAGAAATCATTATTATTATTATTATTATTGTGTGTGTGTGTGTGTGTGTGTGTGAGAAGAGAGGGAAACTTCGGAGGACGTTGTCATAGCGACCGTAAACTTAAAAGTTTCTCAACAACTGGCCTCACCAACTAATATCGAGAACACTGATAGGCCTAACTTTACGTCTGGTGTTTACACGTCTCAAACGGACTTTCTTGTGATAATGGAAGCTAAACCACAAGTTTTGGGGACAACATCTAAGATAATTCCTCTTGCCTTACCCAAAGGAACGGAAAAGCTGTGTGAACTTTGTCAAAGAGGAGCGCACCTGCAATGCGCCAAGTGTCGGGTCACATTTTACTGGTAAGATGGAGTTGTTAGCTGTTTTACTGCATTTACTAAACAGTTTATTTGTGTGAGCATAATTCCCAAATGCCACAGGCATAAATTAAGTCTTGTGTTCATTTTGTGTGAACAACATGGTCAAACTATGTCTACGGTTTGGACGCGAGGTGGCAGTGTTTGCCTTTTTTTTTTCACAGCAAAAATTACAGAACACGTCGACATGAAGAACGTTCACGTGACTGTGTCGTCGGGTGGGAGGGACAGCCGAAAATGAAATTACCACAATGTTTTTTCGTTCGTTTTGTTCATGTGACTGTTAGGGAATCGTTTCCTACGTCTGTTCGATCATTTGAGTTGGGCAACATCCGTTTTTAAGTCAGCATTACATTTGTCGTAGATGGATATATCTTAAATTACAGCTCATAAAATGGTGCCCGGCGAAATCCTCCTCATTGGAACAGCATGGGGAGTGAATAGGAGCATGTGGTGACACCCCTCCCTGTGGGGATTTATACAAAGGGCTGAGCCACCAGTCTTTTAAGGGGGCTCACAGCCAGCTTCCCTCTCAGCCTTTAAAAAGAACTATAAGTCAAGCACACACACAAAAAGATGTAGTCTACAGGTCATTCAGCTGTATCTCAAAGCAATCGGGGGGGCATATACCCTAAAGGAGTTTATACATGTGGCCAATTAAGTTGAGTTAGCTTTGGTTCTTTGTCAGAGCATGCTTTTGACACAAGTCACTTGTAAGTGTACATATCGTGCTGCTGGCTGACTAGTATCCAGACTAGTGTTTGTGGTGACTGTTTATCATTAGGCAGATTGAGAGGTATTATGCAAAGAAAGCTCAGCAGAGACAAGATAGCGCAGTGGCCCTGCATCTGGAGAAGACATTTGTGTGTTGCTGTGTGCTTCTCTGTGTCTGTCTTAACATGCACAAGCATGAGATGTCAGTGCCACTGTTGATGTGACGTGGCCAGATTACAGTGTTTCTGTCTGAGCTCCACAAACACAAATACACTGGAGTGAGCACAGTTGCTCCGCCGGAAGGATAAGAAGAAAAAATGCTAGGAAAACCAAACTGTTTCCACAGAAGTGTGCAGGAGTCGAGAGCCAGATGAGCAAAATTACAGACCAGTTATGTAATGGCATGTAATTTAGAATGCCCTTTGTGCACTCAGATGATTTTTTCTAAATGGGATAGAGGCTTTGCCTTGGAAATGTTAGCGCTCCACTGCAAACCAACTGAAATAAAGAAACATTTCACCATTAATGGTACCACACCGGATCCACACTTTTCAACCGTTCTTACCAAGGCTACTGTTCTACACTTGCAGTACAAGTTGCAGCTCAGATGTTCAGGTCATACCTCGGAAAATATTCCTGAGCCAACATCAGTCACATTGTGCCCAGAGAGGAGATTCAACATGCATACTAAAGCTTCACACAAAGCCACAAGGACTCTCTGGATCTAAGGTGGCTAAAGGGAGAGAAGGAAACTGAGTGACATAAAGTAGCCCTTTAAATAAATGTTTTAATTTCTCAGCGATGCAGAGCACCAGCAGGCAGACTGGGTGGGTATCCATGAGAGAATCTGTCAGCTGCTTGTGCCCATTCGCACACCGACACTCTTAAGTCTCCAACAGTCTGGCCGCATTGAAATGCAGCTTAAAAAGGTGAGGACGTATGTAATGCATTGACACCACGTATGGAAAACTATGAAACACACAGTACAGTGTAAACACCTTGTTTTGAGTTTGAGTCTAGTTTACATGTCAAGGAGAATGCAAAGAAAAACCTGAATTCCGACAACTACATCTCCAGGCCATGAAAGGTTTTGAATTTTCTTCTCAGAAATCTGTCTACGATTTATCATTTATTTTCAAATTGTCTAGTGTTTGGGCTCCAGGTTTTTTGTTTTAGCTCTCCTAATTTCATATATCAAGATGCCAAATCCAAACCTGGAGCACACAATACAATTGTAGACTGTGCTACCATTTGAGGAAACAGTAATGAAAAAGTCATAGAATTTAAACAACAGAAACACACAAGAACCCTGGGTCTTTTTATTTGGTTTACTCAATTGTTATGTAATATTGCTGGAAGTGGATTCTGATGAATTGATGTATGGTCAAATTAACCTTGGGTTTGGTTCTCTACTTAGGCAGAGCTGATTGAAATTTGCAGATTGGTGGCCCAGAGCAAGCTGTCTGAGGGGAAACACCAGGAGGCTCTGCCTGCTGCCCAGTTCTGCCTGCGCTGTTCTATAGACATCCATGGCCGAAGTTCTGTCCAAATGGTCCCTGCGTACCTGCTGCTGGCTGAGGCCAACATGGGTGAGGAAGGAGTACAAAATGGTTTCTCAGCTCAAATTGTCTCATTTCTGTGCAATGTTTAATGCATGCCTGTGTGTGTCTGTCATATGTATATTTGTGTGTGTATTTGTTCTTGCGTTTCCAGGCTTGGGCAATCTAGCCCTGGTGGCAGAGCTCCTGTCCCAGGCAGAGTGGGCGGTTTTGAAGAGCCCAGAATGTGGTCATGCAGTCCACCACCGGCTGCACAGAAGCCTGGGCCGCCTCCACACAGCGACTGGAAACCTGGAAGCAGCTCTGCTTAACTTTGCAAATGATGTTTGTGTCATAATTAGCACACTCACCAGAAATGGATTCAGCACATTAAGTATTTTCAACTGTTCAATAGCTATCTTGATATTGCGCAGAGCAAAATGCAAGCCACAACTTATTGGATTTTTTTTGTACTTTGCTCACCATATAGAATGCTTGCTCAAGACTTACAATATTTTCTTCCTTTCATGTCATGTGCACCCACTCGACACTGGAAAGCCCCAGAACATATGAACATACCTTGTAAAAAAGAGCTAATTTCTCTGCTGTGTTTTTTAGATATATTTTGCCAGTGAGGCGTATGGTCTGGATAGCACAATCAGCTGTGGTGGCTACTTTCACATGGCTGGTGTGTTTGCCAAAAAGGGGAAGCTGCCCATTGCTTGTTCCTTGTATTCTGAGGTAAAAATAGATCAGATGTGATGTGATCAAGGCAATTTTACCAAATCTATTTTTTAAAAGTGTTATATGGTTTATCTTCTCTTGCCTATGTTGTAGGTGGCACATACTTGGCACAGCCATCTGACCAAACTGATCAAGACGCATGTTGAAAATGTCCACAATCCTGACATGTTGCTAAAGCCCTCTTATGGTACGTCTTATCACATCAAATATGCACAATATAAATGTAATATATAACCGTACTATTCTAGCGGGATGTAGATTTATAAAAAATCACCGATCCATCATTTGCTCCACCCACTTAACGGACGATTGGTGTATCACTGAAAAAAATAGGGTCAACAGTACTATATTTAGCTGAGCTGGATTGCTGTGCAATCCAAAAGCTAAACCCCAGATTTACACCAGCATGCTTAAGGCTGACTAGAGACCACTGCTGACACATGGCTGTGCAACATCCGCACCACTGCTCCCTATTGTAACTGCTGCCCTACATATGATGCTAAGCCTGTTAGCTCTCTGGGCTGTTCTGGAAAAAGTGGGTGTGGAAGGGAAGGATGCTTAAACAAACTATAGAGAAGATACAGACTGACCTAAATTTTATGTTGACCTCTATTACATGCAGAAGTACTATTTTTTTCCAATTTTCGTGTGTACTGTGCATTTATCCCAATGTTAATATCCTGTAAAAGCTAAAAGTCATTTGCATCTTTGTCTCTATCCATGACTTTCAATCAGACAAAGCCCAGCGAGTTGAAGTGGACGAGATGTTAAGAACCATGTTGGAGTTTCAGCAGAATGACTCCAGAAAAGACTTATCTCAGATTTCACTTTTAGCTCACTGTCTGGCCATGCTGTGGTTCCTGGGAGGAGACCCCCTAAAGGTGAGTCACCAGATGAGGTGACCAGGCATTAAAGGTTCAGTTTGGCACAATTCCCCATTATCCCACCATCCCTCCGCCTCCTTAAATGGGATTATCTCTAATTGGTAAAGCTGTAAAGATGAGCCGGGAATTAGTGGGAGTCTGACGTGACTGTTTTGACACTCTGACTTCCACTTCGGTTTCAAGGCTCTCTGTAATGCCACTGGAGGTTATTTGTGTGTGTAAACCGCACCTCTTTAGATATGGGATGAATGAGCAGATCATCTTTTGTGTCGTGCCAGTTGAGAGAATGAAGCAGCAATGGTGGAGTGAACGTGTCCATACCACTGACTCTACAGGAAGTTCTGTATCAGAGAGGTGACTGCCAAAGACTTTAAACCATGTCGTGTTAAGGCAAGGCAAGCATATTTCAAGGCAATTCAAGTGCTTCACATAAAACATAAAATGCTTTGAGACAAAATGTAAGCATTAAGCACCATAAGGCAATATAAAAATACATTTAAATAGTTCTAACCATTCAGTACTTTATAAGCCAACAAACATTTTAAAATAAATTATCTTCCAGTGTAAAGCCCTCTTGAAATCAGCTGCAGCTGTCTGATACATTTTTTAGATAGACCTGTAAAGATACTGTTGCTGTAGTCCAGTTGACTGAAGATACATGCATGGAAGTTTTTCCAAATCCTGCTGAGACATAAATCATTTAATTCTTGATGTATTCTTCAGGTGATATCGCCTGTATGGGATTATAGTGCCCTGGCTATTCAGTAAATTAAAGGTGTGTTTTCTGCAGATTTATGATAACATATTTTGTTGTTCTTCCTAATTTGAGCCAGTGAAAGCTTGTAGATGTTAAACAGAAGAGGCCCCAGAATGGAGCCTTGGGTAACTCCACAGGTAATTTTTGTCCACTCAGATGTGTAATTTCCAACAGACACAAAGTAGTCCCTGTCCTTTAAGAAGGATTCAAACCAGTTCAGTACTGTACCAGAGAGTCAAATGAACAATAACAAATGGTTTGACACTGAATGCAAAAACCTATGGAAAACTTTAAGGAAATTATCAAATGAAAAGCATAGGGACCCGGATTACCACAACATACGCTGTCAATATGAGGCCACTCTGAAACAATACAAGTACACCGTAAAAACTAGAAAAGAACAACACAGCAAGAAGCAGCTCTGTGAATCCAACCTGTTCTGGGAGAAATGTAACAACCTAAACAAAACCCAGCAGGATGAATTGGCGATCCAAGATGGAAATACTTGGATTAATCACTTTAGTGAATTATACAGTAATATTACAAAAAATTATGATCAGTACAAGATATTCACGAAATGGAAAACTCTGGAGGCGGTGATAAAAAACAACAAAAACCCTCTAGATTACCCTGTAACAGAACAAAAATTAACAGAAGTCATCCAGTCCCTGAAAGTAAAAAAGGCTTGCGGTATTGATGGAATCCTCAATGAAATGATCAAATACTCAGACCATAAAATCAGATTGGCTATACTAAAACTATTCAATACTATTCTAGCAACTGGAACTTTTCCAGACATCTGGAACAAAGGTTTAATAACCCCAATTCATAAATCTGGAGATAAATATGATCCAAATAAATACAGAGGAATATGTGTATCCAGTAACCTGGGAAAAATATTCTGTAACATCATTAATAAACGACTTGTCAACTTTCTTGCTGACCACAATATTCTACATAAATGCCAAGTTGGTTTTTTTGCCAAATTGCAGCACAATGGACCATATATTTACCCTCCAGACTCTAATTGATCAAGAATTAAACATTAAGAAAAGAAAGGTATAAGGCTGTTTTGTTGACTTCCAAAAAGCCTTTGATTCCATCTGGCACGAGGGCCTTTTCTATAGGCTACTTGAAAGTGGCATTAGAGGAAAAACATATTATTTGATTAAGAACATGTATACAAAAAGTGAATGTGACATAAAGATTGGAAACAAACAAACAGCGTTCTTCTCCCAGGGCCAGGGAGTGAGGCAGGGATGCAATCTCAGTCCAATTCTCTTCAACCTATATATCAATGAATTAGCAAACCAATTAGAGAGTTCCACGGCACCTGACCTCACCCTGAACGACACTGAGATCAGAGGTCTGCTGTATGCAGATGACTTAGTGTTGCTCTCCACTACTAAAGAAGGTTTGCAGCAGCACCTTATCCTCCTGTACAGATTCTGTCAGACCTGGGCCCTGACAGTAAACACAGCAAAGACTAAGATAATGATCTTTCAGAAACAATATAGAAATCAGGTTACACACAATTTCTATTTAGACACCACTAAATTACAACACACAAAAAACTACATTTACCTTGGCCTCAACATTACATGCACAGGGAACTTCAACATGGCTGTGAAAGATCTGAGGGACAAAGCAAGGAGAGCTTTCTATGCAATAAAAAGAAACATTAAAATCTATATTCCAATTGAAATCTGGCTTAAAACTTTCCAATTTGTACTAGAACCAATAATTCTATATAGTAGCGAAATTTGTGGGCCAAAACTTAATAATGAATTTGACAAATGGGACAAAACAATCATAGAATCTTTCCATACTGAGTTCTGTAAGAGCATCCTGCAGGTGCAGAGAAGAACACCAAATAACCTGTGCAGAGCAGAGCTCGGCCCCTCTTACTAAAAATACAGAAAAGATCACTTAAATTTTACAATCACTTAAATCAATTAACCCCCAGACATATCATCACAAAGCCCTAACATACCAGAAGCTGAAACCAGAGAACACTCCCCTCGGCCAGCTGGTCCTGAGGCTCTCTGCAGTAACGAGTCCCCAACAGCCTCAGGACAGCAACACCAACTCAAGCAGACCAAGCCAAATTATCAACAAGCAGAAAGAAAAATATATTCAATGCTGGAAAGAAACAACCAAAACACAAAGTAAATTACAATGTTATCTGACCCTAAAAAGAGAATTCACACTGGGAAATTACCTGAGTACAATAAAATGTCCTAAACTAAGGCAAATGTTGACAACATACAGACTGAGTGAACACAGCCTGGCCATAGAAAAGGGTCAGAGGAGAGACTCTGCTCCCAGTGTGACAGGGGACAGGTAGAGACAGAGCTACACTTTCTAACCTCATGCCCCAAATTTAAAACACTAAGACAAAAACACTTTGCAAACATTTCCCATATATACCCTGAATTCGAATTCACATCAGACACACAGAAACTCCCCTATTTACTGGGAGAAATGCCCAAATGTGAAATAATTGCTGCAAAATATGTCTCCTCATGCCATGAAGTGAGGACAACCAGTGGAACCTCAGACTGATAAATAATTGTAACATACACACACACACTTATTGTTTTATTTATTTATTTTAATTTTTAATATATATTTGTTTTTACACACACACACACGCTTACTGTTCTTTTTAATTATTTTATTTTAATTTTTAATATATTTTTATTTTTTTAACACACACACACGCTTACTGTTTTATTTATTTATTTTATTTTTAATATATTTTATTTTTTAACACACACACACACTTACTGTTTTATTTATTTATTTTATTTTAATATATATTTATTTTTTTAACACAGACACACACACACACTTACTGTTTTATTTATTTATTTTATTTTAATATATTTTATTTTTTTAACACAGACACACACATACATGCTTACTGTTTTATTTAATTATTTAAATTTTTAATATACTTAAAAAAATTTTAACAAACACACATATGCCTTGATTACTTTACGCTTTAATTACTTGTTTAATGAAATGTATGGGGTTGATTGATAGTTTGTATGATGCTTTTGGCAATATTGTTGTTACACATTCATGCCAATAAAGCTAATTTAAATTGAATTGAATTGAATTGAGTCCCACACATGCAGAAGGGGGAACAAAACAGGTGGGACACATTAGGTTATCAAGCAGACAGGAAACAAGCATAAGACGAACACCTGACACATACAGTTACCAAAATAAACCAGGAACAAGTAGGCACACGGACAAAGCGAACAGACATACGAACCAAATCCTGACACAAGAAGTTGTTCAACTGTTGAAAGACAAGTTTACTTATATGATAAAATTGTTTACAATTTGTAGAACGTCTTAGGCCATGAAATTAGAAGCATTTTTGAAAAACCCTGTTTATATCAAGGCAGCAGGAGGAGGATTGCAGGTGTTGTATAATGTCCTTTATTTTTCTATGGTTGATCAGTTGGTCATTTGAAATTGATTTTACATTGACACAGGGACAACCAATATCCTGTGCCTGATGCTGAGGCACAGATTGCTTGTCTAATTCTCTGAATTTGTCATTGAAGGAAGCAAATTCCAGGCCTTGTAGGTAGAAGTTCAGAGAGTGTTGACAGTAGCAAACAAGGCACGTGCATTATTATTGTTTTTGGCCATGATGTCAGAGAAGAAGGACCTCCTTGCATTTCTCAGTTGTAAATTACAAATGCAATGTCTCTCTTTATAGATGTCATTATGAACCTGGAGATTTGTTTCTTGCCACCTGCGTTCAGCCTTTCAACACTCTTTTTTTCTGTTCATACCAGTGTGGCATTTCTCCATTGAGATCTTTTCTTATCAGAGACCACCTCCACTTTAGTGGGTTTAATGACATCAATAACATTTGCAGTTTTAGTATTGAAATCATCTACAAGCTGATTATAAGGAAGTCAACTGAAGAGAGAGAAATTCTTGCGTTGGAGGGAATCATTAAACAAAATGGCAATTCCACCTCTTTCTTATGAGCTCCACCTTTTCCTTATGAACATAACTTGTGTTTCAGTTAAAAACATTAAATTAAGATTATGCTTGATGATAAAATCCTTGATTCAAAATGCTTTCTTCAGGCAGGGGCTGAGGTGGCTCTTTTTCAAGGTTTCTGCCACTTTGTGTTATGTCTTCTTGTTATTCCTCTTGTCTCTTGTCCTTGGCAGAGGGAACAGATGGGTGACACAATAAGTAAAATAGGTCAGAGATGAACAATTTTACTCCTGACGTGTTAAGGAGTCCATCTGCGGTACCAGACCATTTCCTTGGGAAAGTATTTTGGTGTTTTTTTTACTGCACATGCTTCTTACATCTAGGCAGAAGTTGCGTTCTAATTTTAAGTTAACTAGCCTGAAGGCCGTTCCAACTGATTGAAGAATATCTTTGATCTCCACATTTTGCTAGTCTTCCCCCACAGGGAGATCAGTGTGTTTAGTCAGCTATAACAAAGTGTCCTCAGACTTAGAGGGACTCTATGCTTCCTGACATGTTTGTGTGGTGTGTGTGTCAGGGTACCCTGGTTGAAGGATGATTTGCTCACACTCTGTGCCACCCAGCCACAAATACCATTCAGTTCTGTCTCATTTTCCTTATCTTTAGTAAACTACAAAGTAAAAAGGTTTTTGTTGTAGTTCGACTACTCCCCATGTTCTTGTCCACATCATAGCTTCACTGTGGGTTGCAGTGGTAGTGCTGTGTTTTGAAAAGTGCATCATTGTAAGAATATACAGTTGTCATCATAGGATTTGTTGTTGTTAAGAGGGAATTGTGGTTTGATTCTTTCACATTTATCTGTGATTAAAGATGTTGTTGAAAAGGATGGAAGAAACATTAGACAAGAGAGCCTATACTTAGTGTATCAGCCATGTATTCACTGGCAAGCAAACTGTGGCTGGATAACACCAAAACCACAAATACACGACTAACACATATAAAATGCACACTCCCAGCTGTTCACAGACGCTAAGAAACGACAGGAATTCCATGTATGCCACTGCAAAAGTCAACAAATTCCACATTGACCTTGTCATGTTTCCATCTAAGCATGCATGGTTTTATCAACAGTATCAAACAATACTTTTATATACTCATTTTCTCTCAATTACAAACTATAATGGACAGTCTAGTCAAATCAGGTTATCAAAAGGATAAAGTGGGATAAGTTAGCTCTACTGGGTTGCAGTCCAATTTTCAGTGATATTATTATATAAGTCCGCTTTGCTCTCCCCAGAGAGTCTAACAGCTGCAGCTGCTGTGTTTGTTTCCGTTTGTGTTTGTGTGCCAGGCCCTGGGATTTGGCAACACAGCCCTGCAGGCCAGCCAGCTGATACCAAACCATGACCTGGCAGAGCCCATCCAGGGCCTGCTGCGGCTGGTGCAGAGTCTGCAGGCAGAACCACATCCGGGTGCTGTCTAGTCACCATACCTGCCGTGGCCATCCCTCTGCTTGGGGATCTACTCCACTGGGACATATTCATTTAGCCCCACACTGATTTACCCATGTAAGTGTAGAAACCACTGAATTGGTAATAAATAAAAAGTTTAGGAGTAAAGCGCTTATGGTTGTGTCATTTAAGTTTTATCCAGATGTTATGAATTTGTATTGTAAGCAGATAATATTAATCATAAAAAATATTGAAGGACAGAAAAAAAAAAGAACATTTGTACTGAGTTTCATATCTCTAAACAAAACAAATGAGGAGGAGGAGACACATTTGCATTGGTTTTGAATGACTCATCTTTATTTTAATCTAAAAAAAAAAGAAGAGGGATATATATTTACATCATTTTGCACATTTGTGAATTACATGGTTTTGGGATTCCAGTTTGTAACACTGTCAGAATGATACCAAACAGAATAATGGTGAGGGCATTTGCCAAAATCCTTTTTATGCAATGTTTTGCTTATTTCATACCTTGCAGTCCAGCATCTTTACATCAATTCACCATATGCAGATAGAATTAAAGATAAGATTTCTGTTGTTTATATATCATCAACAGACAGCTGAATTATTTCACTGAAGCATAAACATTGCATTATCCTCCTGCAAACTAAAGTGTATTGTAAACCTTTGAGCAAACCTCAGGTTCATTTTAAACACGTGGATTTAAAACGAACCTGACAACTGCCGTGAAATCCTACACATATTATACAATTCTGAAACATTTATTCATTATATCAAAACAAAGAATCACTTTTAAAATCATCTCACTAGTAGTGTTATCAGTACTGAATTATACAACAAAGTGTTTGTTTTTTTGGCATTCAGATTCATTTTTCTGTTGAGAGGCAGCAAAACACAGAAAACACTTTCCACATATTCCCTTTTTAATTTTTGAGCCAAATATACATTAGCAGCAGTTTGGAATTAAATAGTAACCCTGTGCTCTCTTGTGTTGTTGTACACAGTGACTAGTCCAGAGGTCCCGACATGTTTGTTCCTGGCTGACTAAGCACCACATAGGCCAGTACACGTTTGATCTTTCATCATTTACGCACATTTTTTTTTCTTCCTTCCTTGTGTTACTAGCATGCAGTATCCATTTCTTTCAGTAGCTTCCATGCCTTGTATCCATTGTGTCATGTCCACTGATATATAAAGACCAAGCAGAAAGAAACCCACCTGAACTGAGACCCTGACTCAACTATGATTCTCGAATCAGTGCTCCCACTGACAATGAAAAAGGCATTTTGGAAGTTGTCAGGGCAGAGTAAAACCTTTCAATGGCTGGATGTGCGGTGTCTGCGTATGGACGACGTATAAACTACAGATTTAAAGAACAGGGACTGTGACTGAGAAAGGAACTTCTGGCTGTCTTTTTAATGTCTTGAAAGGATTTGTGATCTTTGATTTACACTTATGTATACAACGTAGAATGACACAGGCTTCAATACAGACGAAGACTTCAAACAAATAAGGGTGGGGGGTAACAACTGGAGATAGATCACCCACATACACCTTTAGGCTGGGATGTGACTTTTTGACGATAAAGTCCACCGGACCCTTGCACGTCAGGAGCGTGGACATCAGCGGATTTCACAGTTTGTTCGTCAGATACTTTGATTATATAGATACCGGACAACATCACAGTAGTGTAAATGGTGTTATTCTCTTAGTGGAGCCACTGTGATCACTTGATAGCAGACTTAAAATATAAGCCGCCTTTCCTGTTGTCTGGCAGGTATAGATTTGGCACCCTCATGCAGGCCCATTCAATTCCAGTCGGTTAGTAAATTCGGCCCACAAAAAAGGAAAATAAAAATCAAGTTTCACAGCGGTTTCACTTTATTGAGACAATATTAGTGCACACAAACCACTTTGTCTTTAAAAATACCATAAATTAGGAAGAAAACAAGGAACAATATAAAAACAAGCAAGGAAAAAAGTGCATGTTAACCATGGTATACACCGCTTTGTTTTATACTGTAGTTTACAACCTTTTTTTCAATGTTGTTTGTGTATTTTTTTGTCTGCCTGTAGGATGTATTATGTTTTTGACATGTCTCGGATGGATATATGATGTGCCTTTGGGGGTCATGGGTGAGATCCAGGCTGCTTCCCTGAGTTGTGTGCAACAGAACGGTTTATGAGCATAAAAACATCGACACTACATGGAACAACCTAGGTTTTTATATTTGTGCTTTTGATCAGAGCTGCAAATTATTCTTAATGAATGGCATTTACCCCAGCATACCCTACCTTTATGTTGATAGTTATTTCAGAAGGTGCACAGGAGGTAAATCAACAGGAACAAAAACCTTAAGCAATAAGCTCTTGGCCACTGAAATCCCTGGATTTATTTTTCCTTTCTTTTCTAAGGAAAGAAAAAGTAACATTGCAAAAATATAGTTTCCATTTTTTATTTGTACATCATGCCAACATGTTTGTGGATTAGGATACTTCATTTTTATTTTTTTATTATCAAAAAACAAGTTGAAAACAATAAGAGTATAATCTACAAATCATATGACTGAGAAATCACATCTAACCAAATCCAGAAATATTAGCACCAAATTTCAGTTTCAACCTTTCAGTGTTTCAGGTCTGTACAAATATGGTTGTCCACAATAGCTTATGAAGGTTTCAATGTTGGTAGTTATTTCAGCTGTTTCTAGTTTCATCAGCTGGATACTAGTATGAACGGAAGCTAATTTACTACCTTAATATTTACAAAAAAGCTAAAAAGAAAAAAGAAAAAAAAAAGAATACACAACTATCTGTTTATCTCACACAACTATCTTTTTAGATTGTAGACATAAAGGGAAGGAACACCTGGTATATCAGGGGCCATTTGAAAACCACAAGGATCCTGGCTGATATGTACTGTATGTTTGAATATGTCATCCTATGGCAGTGACTGAGAAGTCACTGTTTTGAGGTATATTTTGTTCACAGATGTAGACGCAGCTTTCACACTCTGTCTCATGTTTCTTAAATGTGAGTGAGAAAAAAAAAATGCGTCTGTTTATTATAAAGTGCTAGACAATGAATGGATTTTAAAAAGCAGCAGACTGCTGCTGCTGGTAAGATTAATCAAACAAGCTATGTAGGAATGTAAAATAAAATTAATAAAAATCAAGTAATGGCACTCAATTCATTTTTATATTACAGGTTGTGACTCTTAAACAAAACTGCTTTTTGTTATTTATACTACCTTGGACAGGTTTTGGTTGCAGTTTTGCGTACATTTACATTAGCCTGCTTCATTCACAGTGAACAGAGTATTGATTATGGACACCGTGTTAGCACCCAGGATGATTTTCTGGTGCTATGTGTATGCACTCTGGGTTAATAATATTTTATTTACGCATGAAAGGTAAATCACTGTGACACCACAAAGTCAGCCTGTTATTCACTGTCAATGTAGCAGCTCCAGCGACATTTCAATATTACTCATTCAAAAAAAATGTGATTTTAATTAGAGGAGAGTTGTGTCGCGGTAACCTGGTTAAAAAAAACATTTTGTATACAATCTGTTTTAGCTGGATTTACAGCATACTATTGTCATGTAGTGAATTCACCTCTCATTTCAGTTATTTGGAATAGCAGTAAATTTGACTTGAGGTCCCTCCATCTCCAGTTGCTGCAGGATGGTCTCTATTCTGTTCTGTGTCCTTGATAGGTGCACTACATTGCTACATTGGAACTGACAGTATAATGTACCTAGCATGAGAATGTATTCCTCTCCGAAGGAGCTAATCATTTGAAAAAAACAAAACAAACAACAACAAACACTTCATTTCACCTCCAATCCACCAAACCTGACTACAATCTCAGCAGGAAACCCCCCTTTTATGACAACATACTGTAGATTCTCCCTTAAATAATGTTATTGTGTTTTAAGGATAAGAATATGGCCGGTGGATGCCTTTATAGGTATCACATACCCACCGGAAAAGATCTGTCACCATCACAATTTTGCAAAAAGGCTAGGAGAGGTCATTATTGGCAGTATATCCCACTCTCGCCACCACGCTGCAGTGTAAGCTAGGTTTGGATAGTGGGGTTTGCTGACTGGGAGTAGAGGGGCAAAGCGAAGAGAGTCAGGGGAGCAGCCTCAGATCTGTGGTGTTTTTTTCCAGGGAGTTAGTAGGAGATGGCTCTTGTTTTGGTGTTTGTATTTCTATGGTTGTGTCCGTAATTTTGTCTGCAAGTGTGTTTGGGGTTTTTCTCTGCTCTTGATTTTGCATTTAACATCCTATGTTTTAATGGTTTTTGGATCGATATGTGTTTTGAAAAGGAATGTCAGTTGCCATGCGTACAGGTATGCGTGTTATGTATTTGTGTGTGTGCATGAAGCCGCTTGAATCTCACTCAGTCAATAACTTGATCTCACTGGCAAGGAGGGTGTTGAAGTTGTAGGCTGGATCGGGGAGGTCAGGGAGATCAGGCAGAGTGGGGGCTGTGGACTGACGGGGTGAGGACTGGGAGGGCTCAGCCAACTCCGGGTCACTCTCGCTGGAAGTAGAACCAACGCTCATGTTGCAGACGGCCTCGGGTAGTGAGCCGCCGCCAGCAGGCACAGGGCAAACCTCCGGCTCGCTGCTGGTCTCACTGGTACTCGACACGACGGACAGCAGGGACATCTTGCGGGTGAGGCGGCTGGGGAGCATTGACAAGGCGTAGTCAGCGACGATGCCTGCAACATCCATGCCACAGGCCTGGTCGAAGGCAATAAAGCCCACATTGGCATTGGCCTCGCAGACCACAAATGAGCCATCATTGAGCTGCAGGAGGTCAATGCCACACACATCCATGCCAAGGATGTTAGACACCTCTATGGCCAGCTGCTTGCCCTGCTCGCTCAGTGGGCACATCATACCTACGCCACCTAACAATCCAGAGAGAGACATCAAGCTGGTTAATACCCACCACAATCATTAATTCACTTTACCATCCAGATTTAAAAACATACAAGAGCAATCTTTAAAATATATATATAGTTTGATTTAAGAAGTATTTATTTTAGTATCATAGAATCAAATACCACATCTGATCCACCTAGAGTCCACATGATCTGTTACACAAATGCAGAATAATCTGATGACTGATGTCCTAAATATGTCACAACGCATTACAGCCTCGACTAGTGCTCATGCTCTGACAGTCTCGTCAGCTGGAAAGCTGTGTCACTTGATGTCTCCAGGGTAGATTCAGAATTTGCCGCTGTATCCCAAAACTGGCTTATAGAGCATTACACTTGATCAAAAACTTGATAAGACTGTTAAATATTGCCCTCATATATAGTGATTACATACAACCCTTAAATGTGGCATGTGGCTGAACGAAATCCAACACAGTCATTGTTTTACTAAAAGGCATTTGTTAATGATTAAAGCCTGGCTATTACTTTTATATGTCTAAAAAATCTTGGTCACTTAAAACTGTCCTGTCTTAAATCTTCATAATAACCAAAACAGCTTTGGTTCTCCAAGAACAGTGGGGTCATTTAACCACACGACTAGATATAAGACTCAAGGCAACTCAAGACAAATCTCATATGATCAGTTCAAAAAGTAGCCTCATTGAAAATAGACTAGTCTTGCAAACTTAGGAAGTTACAGTGTAGTAGTACTGGTATTATTGGTAACTGTAATGACCATATGTGAGTGGTTGTGTTCAATAGTAGCAGTAATTCAGTGCGTCATCGTTGACTCTTGGGCATCTGCCTACCCAGGGAGCAGTTGCTCTGCATGCGACCATCAGTGGAGCAACGTAGCATTGAGCCGATGACACGGCCGCCCACCAGGACCACCCGCACATCCCGGCCGTGCGACTCCTTGACATACTCCTGAAACAGGTAGGGGGTGTCGTGGCGGATCAAGTGGCACAGATCTGTCAGGTGGTGTTTGTCCCGTGCCAGGAACACGGCCTTGCCTGGGAGAGGGAAGGAGATTTAAGGTGAAGAGGGGAAGGAAAGATGAGGTAGTTTTTCAGGCTGTCAGGACAACTACACCGCTTTATATCAACATGATTTGTATACATGAATAAGATGGTTGCAGGGTCTGAGATTTGTGTAATATTAGTTGAGGTTGGATAACTTCCTCAAGAGTTTTGCTGACAAGACGCTGCTTCTGCTGACCGACTCTCATGCCAGTTCCCGTTTCTCATATAATGGACAGGGTTCTCCTCCTAGCAGCCACAGAACTGCTTCTCACACAGGATAGAAGACGCCGATTTTAATTAGCACCCCTTGGCTCCGTCTCCTGGTTGTCAAGCCCTCTGACCCCTGTTTCTGCTGTGTGTATATGTGCACATTGTGTGAAAGTGACAATCCGAACAAGATGACAAGGCAATCCCTTAGTTAACATTGTGAAGATGGACAGTAGCAGGCATGATGTAACACTTCACAAGTCAAAAATAAGAAAAGAAAAGGGAATCATGGTCCTGTATGACACATGACTACTTTGTTTTGATGATACAAAAACATTGCTTAGACAATGTGCACCCAAAGCCATTCACTATGTTGTAAATTACAATATTTCAAATCCCTAACAACTGGCCAGGTAGGGCACATGAAATTTAAATGTGGGATCAAGTAAGTATTGACCAATTAATACCAATGATTTGATTTTGAAACAACCCTTTGTATTTACTCATGAGAAGGAAGACAAGCTGGACTTCAGCCAATGTCAACGGTCAACCGCTGAGGGGAAGAAAGCAACCCTTGGGACACCAAACTCCATAAAAAGGCCCACGTTAGTGACTGACCAACGACTGCTTTCCCTGACAATGCGCTGTGATGGCATCCTGGGCTAGCTGAGGTCCATTGTTATTCCTTCACACAATGGCAGACCCAGTCAAGTGTCAATAACTATGAAAAGGACATGGGCTAATGGGTCAGCAGACACTGGGGCTTATCTCTTGGAAGCACAATGTTAATGGCGAGGCTAAAAACTTCCCACACAAACCCCCTGGGACTTCGAGCAAAAAAGGGGAAATCAGGGTAAATTTGTAAGCTCCCAACAAAAATGATTAACCTAGCAGCCATAGCGTAAGCATTAACAAGCTTGTGTTTTGTGTTTGTTGCAGCACCACAGTCCTAATCATATAACACCCTCTCAATGAATTTCATATAAAGGGTGGACTGAGTTGCCATCATGTGCCTGCAGTGTACAGATTTCTGAGGTGTGGTGTAGTGAACAGAGCTGGTGACAGGAAATAACACTGATGGTCTTACCTCTATGGCCACGTGCGTTCTTCACCACCACAGGGTAGCCCAATGGCTCTGCCTCGTCAATCATCTTACGGAAGTTGTCGTGCCCTCCTGGGAAAACACCCATGCACACAAACACAAAGCAGCACACAGTGGTGTCAGATATATTTAATTGTCTTTGATAGCATAGTTCACACATTACAGCCGATTGAGCAGGATGGTGGTGGGGGACTGTAGCCTGTTGCTATGGCAACAGCGGTGACTCAAAACACACACGGCTGTAGGAGTGTTGTCCTAAACTCATACTTATTGTGCTGCTTGATTCATGAGTTGGGAACAGAGCAGTCACTGAAGGATGCATTTGTGTGAAGCAGCTGACCATATCTGACATTGATTCAGAAAAGGCAGCTTGTAGCAACAGATGTGCTTTCTCTGCTTTGGCTCAAGGAGTGTAAAAATAATGAAAAATGGAGGCGTTAATAACTTCTTTCCCCTCGCTCTCCGTCTCCCTGTCTCTCTCCATCTTTGATTTCCTGTCTGGTCTTAGGAACAGATGTGAACTATGCTGTCACATGGCTTTTTCCAGATGCACAGATTCACGTGTGTTTTTTAGTGAGCGGGAGAAAGAACAGACGGAGCAGAGGGGGAGAGGGACTGGAGAGCAAATGTGGGTCCAACCCCATCATAAGCTGCTAAGGTGGAGAGTAGGAGGGAGGCAATGGCATGTTTTATTTTGAAAAATCATGGGGGGGGTGGGGGGCATTGGGGTGATGTTACATAAGCTCTCCAGCCGCTCTGCATGCACCGCCCGGCCTACTGTGCAGAGAGACGAATGGAATGTAGGCCAAACACCCCCTCCTCTCTTTCTTTCTCCGTCTGTATCCTTCTTTTTCAGCTACACAGTAATGTGGATTTTTGGGAAACAGAAACAATTGTGTGGTGTTGGTTATCAGCCTTTGTTTTGTCTTTCTCTCTGTTGTTTAAGTATTTGCAGTGGAGTTACGATTGTCTTACTGATGGCTTATTAATCTGTTATACAGACACATGGGGGCTAAAGCCTGTGTGCAACTAATGTGATTAAAATGCCTAAAAAATAAAAAAAATACATGACACAGCAGTGCTGGTGTTTATGCTAACATCCATTTGGGTACAGATGATGCAGTTATATTCCCATAGTTTTTTAAATAAACTGATAGACAATATTTACATATATTATGTTTCCCATAATAAATAGCCTATGTTTACTCACTTAATTGGACTAAAATACTAAAACTGCCTAAGCATCAAGAGCTGTCCATACAAGATTTAGTAAACACAAATCATGATAGAAACAGTTTATTAAGAAACTAATGTGTGCAACAATTTATACTTCTTAAGCTGGGTGGACTGGGTGTGTGGCACTGTTGTCCAGCGGGTGCTGCGATAGAAACCTTGATTTGAGTTAGGGTGTCTTTCTTTGTTCATTTGGGCATTTGTGTGTAACACTTATTTTATGCTTTGTTCAAGGAATTTCAGTCTACATTCAGTCTGCAGAGTCACAGGAGCTCTACATAAGGGACAATGTAGCATTGGCTCAGCATCATCCAACTCAAGGCCTGCAGGCCTCTTTGTTGTCCACACACCGGGAAGTTTTGATAAAGCCAGTTGTATCACATTCATATCACATTAAACCGACTTCTTGATCATAGAAGCACACTATCTTACAGTACGTGCGCACAATACGTCAATACTGGGAAAAAGATAAAGCTCAAGTATTTACCGTAGGAGAAAGTGTCAGGGAGAGGCACCCCATGGCCGGCCAGCTCCTGAAAGGTCCAGAACTTGTTGACACAGTTAAGTATGGCCTGGGGACGGTTGATCAGCCGACAGCCCATCTTCTCCAGGTGGCGCAGCACAGTGATGTCACTATCTGACTGCACCCAGGGCGTGGGCACCCGCACCACCACCACCTGCGGATAAGATGTCACCAATTCCTGCTCCACTCGCAGACCTGGAGGGTGATGTGGTGGTTGGAGAACAGAGGGTGGAAACAAGAAGACCATTAATAAACAAAAACCCTTGAAATAATGTATTTGGTTGTCAGCCTGGGGGTATACAAATTATTTAAATAAAAACGTTGCACCTAAACCTCTAACACGTAATGAGTTTTTCAGAGCACTCAATACAACTCTGAGCCACCGCTAAGAACTTACTCCTATCCAGTCTGCTTCTGGCACTCATGGAACCACAGCCGTCAACAACTGGTCCACTTGCCACGTAAGAAAATAAGGCATCATTGTTTATAGCCATCATTACATCCTAAAAATCATATTTACCATAGCTGGAAACATTGTGAACATGGTTGGTGAGATTTGGAAGCTATCATTTACTGGTGGAAAAGTTTACTCCTCAAACGGAGACTGTTTAAGAACACTGCTTCAGTCGTCACCCACAGCTCTGACTAGGAGTTGGCCAGGACCAGGCAGAGGCAGCCAGCTACAAGGCTGGTGGTGCTAAGTCATGAATTTGGAACCCGCTTTGCCAGCTGATACGATTACTTACACACTGACCATATCTATATACAGTACAGTCCCCGTGCAGTGCTTTCAGCCCCTCTGCATTTTGAGACAGTGCTGTCTTCGACTGAGAAAGAGATGTCCTAGCTGATTTGCTGACACTATACAGGCAATGTAGGGCAGTGGGGTAGGGTGAGATGTTTGAAACCCCAAGGGTGCAAATCTTGAATTTAGTCACACATGAACCCACATCAGGGAGAAAAGCATGATTAGAAACACTTCTATTTTATGTTACAAAATATTTGTTTAGTTCAGGGCTTTCAAAATGTGTAGATATTTTGACAACGTTCTAGTCCGCTATAGTAGTTGGTGGTAATTTTTGATCCTGTCACACCGCAAAATCTGTGTCATCTAGTGACTAGTGAAAGTCTCATGCTTTATTGAAAGTCAAACTGAATCCCTGTTTTCACCTGGCATTAACACGCAATCTGATTCACATGTTGACAGCTCTAAGTACAGCTTTAAAGCTAATAAGAGTAGCTGCATGGCTAACTGAACAGCAGGTACAGTAAGCAGCAGGTTAACAACAAGTAAAGCTATCTGTTAATCACGAAACTCTGTAAATGACAGAGAGTTGAGGCAGAGCAGTCGGGGTTAATTTGAGGGAAAACCAGAAAATATATTCTCAATAAAATATGGTGAATGAAATTATAAAAAGGTGTGTTTGTCTACAGCATAACCCCCCAGAAACCCTCTACTCCGGCAGCGTCTATCGTTTTTCCAGCCTAATTCTTGTCTCATTTGTTGTCTGATAAACAGTAAATTCATCAAATTCAGGTTAAAAGCGGCAACATATTTGGTCTTTGCAAATGGAAATCATGTACGTGTTAATTTACATATACAGCAGCAAAGTAAGATCCAATCACAAGTAGTCACTCCAGTTGCATTCTAATGCAAGGTGTGAAAAGACGTACTTGGAGCTGCCCACGTTTGATTGGATCACCCAAGATGCATGTTAATGGAAGTATAAACAGGGAATAAGGCTGGTTTTGAGTGTCTCAGCCTGACACCACATTTATCATGCAAATGTAGGCCAAGTAAATACAACAGGCTCACTGAACACATCTGAATAGGTCACTTATCAGCCATTCAATTCAGCACAGCATGTATAAGCCATGGAAAACAGCAGAGACTTGACAAAGAGAAGCTTGTATAGTTTGATGGCGGGAATGAAGTTGGTGTGATATAGTACATTAACTTTCCTTCAAAAAGCAGGCCAGCAAATTTCAAAATTCACTGGCCATCTCCAGTCTCTATCAACAGCTATCTGAATCTGCAGAACAGAAGTACATTCTGAAATAACAGAATATTGGCTTGATATTTGCCATACACAGATGGCAAATTCACCAGCCATAGCCAAAGGTTTGGCAGAATCTTTCTGGTGAGTGGTATTACTTTGTTACCCTGGATGAGACGAGGAAACGGAGACAGACTGAGATTTTTGAGCAGGCGATGCGACCCAACAGCTCATCAGGGAGAACAGATTGGGTGACAACAAAACCTGCGTGTACGTGTGGGTATGCACATATATGTTCGGTAAAGAGGGGAGGAGACGCATTTGTCATGGCACAGCGCTTCACCTCTACGGTGACCTGAATTTCAGCCATCTTAGAGTCTGGAGGCTCACAATAGTGACAGCGCCACAGGCTGAGATCATCAGAGGCCATATTAACCATATTAAGCTTGATGGTTGCTGCACATGTAATAACAGATAAGACGGCTATATACGATATAGGCCTGTATAGTGTGCATTATGCACACATTGTGGGTGAGACGAACACATGTTTTAGGGTCATTCTGTGCATAGACAGGTGAGGGGGACCAAGAAGAAAGGGAGCAGGCAGAAAAGGTCAGGGATGTCTTGTAGCCTTAGCGCAGGGGAAGGGAGGGAAGAGAGGGGAAAATAGAGGCGCATGAAAAAAGGCGTACGAAGCGACAAAGACTGCCGCCCCTCCCTTTTTCTCCTCCTCCTCCTCCTTCTCACTGTCTCTCCAGCCCTATTCAACACTCTCACACACTGCTCTTATTGTGCAGCTATTGAGAGCACTGCGAGTGGTGTTACAGTGGGAAGTGTCAGGGGATGTGGTCTCATGCTTTTTGACAGACAGTATTCACTGTTCACGGTGCTCGTCTCCATCTCCAGGGGAACCAAACAGAGACCAATGAGGCAGCTAGATGAATCAGTCCTATTCATTTGAGCGAGTGTTCGTGTGCACTGCACTGCCGTCATGTGACCGCTGCAAAAACATTCAGAAACCCTCCTGACCATTTCGGCATACAACAAAGGCAACATAGGGTTTTTTTGTGACAATGTCTACATTTAGTCGGGGTTGTGGCCTGTTTACAGTTAACTGATGGGATACATGTTTTACCTCTATGATAAACCGTAATGTTTGGAGGCTTCAAACAAACAGTTTATGCGGGTCCCATTTTCAATCGGCCTGACAAAGCTAACAAGCATAACAAGCATTCTATGCATACCGCTGCAACGTCACAAAGCAGGCGATGCCGACAAACACTGTGCCAGTGTCTGACTGGTGGGTCCTGCCAGCCGTGATTGCAGTCTCAGTCTGGGTATCCTTTCTAAATTAGCTTGATGGGCCAGCAGGTTCCCCCACAGTTTCTTCTGGTATCGTTTGGGGCTAACAATGCGGTCAATGGTCTGTTTGCATATCTGTCATCAGTAACACATCTGACAAAAACATATATACTGTAGGCCTATGGTGAGGCCAAGCAAAAAAATCTTTTGTTCATTGAGCACAGGGGCCATTTAAACCTGCATATCCGCTGTGAGTTAGCCTGAGTACATTATAGCTGACAGCTACTTTGCCATTTACAGTACTTGAACTTGAGGCAGCAGGGACATACCATGAGAGACCAAAATTATTTGGCCTAGATATGTAAACGGCTCAACAAACACATTTCAATAGGTCAAACCCATATAATCCTTATTATAATTTACAGGGTCATCTTTTGTGTGTCTGGTGTAGGACTGGGCAGTATTTAAAAATAACTGTGTACTACATTTCAAATGAGCTTTAGCATCGTCATATGAGGATGTTTCAACATGCTATTTTAACTGATGTTTCTTTCACATGGAGTTTTTTGGCTGGAGGCTGCTGTCAACTTTCTGACCTGATAAGAGCATTACTTCCCTTTGCCATTTGTGGCATGATGGAAAAAAATCTGAAGAAATATGCATCTTTATTCTTTCAATAACATTTGTGGTCACCTGCAGTCCACTCCCACCACAGTTTTTACATGACGCAAAATCACACAGCACCATGAAGGTTTAGAGTCCAGTAATCATAGAGCGGACATTGTTCCACTTGTAATTTGAAAAGCTGAAGTAGCCAAAGACAAATGCTTTTATGCAGTATGACACACACACACACACACACACATATATATATAATGTTTGGAGGCTTCAAACAGACTGTTTATGCGGGTCCCATTTTCAATTGGCCTGACAAAGCTAACAAGCATAACAAGCATTCTATGCATACCGCTGCAACGTCACAAAGCAGGCGATGCCGACAAACACTGTGCCATATATATATATATATATTGGAAAGATGTTTATGCCCTACTGATGATATGCTTTATTATACATTCTGGGAATACATTTACATTTATTCATTTAGCTGACGCTTTTATCCAAAGCGACTTACAATTGCTATATATATCAGAAATCGCACGCCTCTGGAAAAATTTGGGGTTAAGTGTCTTGCTCAGGGACACATTGGTGGATGACAACATTGCTGTCAGTTTAAAAAATGTATCCCTGCGTGTTGAAACGAGTGATACGTCAGAGCCTCTCTTCAGTAACACCAATAAAAAGCAAATACACCTGTTCTGCCTCTTCATATGCTGCTATGACCCAAAGTCAAAGCCCAAACAGACCGTACACTACACTTATATGTTGGCAAAGCATTTATAAAGTGTAATGTGTAACTTTGCAACAAAGAAACTACATTGTGGGGAAAACAACAGTGGCATATGGGAAGTTACTGCTGTGATCAAGACACATCAAATATCCCTTATTTATGGCATGAACTAGCTTTTTTCCCCCCACCTGTAACAGACAACAGCTTGTAGATGTAGATCAAGAAAAACTATGCCATATTGCTGATCATCATATAGTCTCATTTCTCATGAAATGGGGAGTGAGTGCTTAAGAAATAACCAAACAAGCATTGGCATTTACAGTATCTCAACCACATGTGTGCTGATGCTGACCCACACTCTGACATAGGAGTGTTGCATTTATCATCTTTGGAGTAAAAGTGTGCCCACTGGCATGCGCATGGGCTCACAAAGGATGGTAACATCAATTCATATCCGGTCTCTGTCAAAACGCCTCACAGCACAAATCATGGGATGTGAAATGCCTCTAGCAAGCTGAATGCTGGATTTGGCTGTCTTATGTGAGGGGTCATCTTTAGTTATTAAAACATAATGGGGTGTGTTTGTGTGGACATGTACTCATCTCTCCTCCTGGGGACACATTGTACTGATCAACTTCAGTGTGGAACATGGCTCTCAACCTGACTTGAGAACACACAAATGAGCTAAGAGAAATACCAAGCTGTGAAGGTGTTGTCGGTTGAAGTTTGCAAATGCAGTCTGACCTGCCCTAAAAAAAGTGCAAGAATTTTTTTTTTGCTTTAGGCTGTTAATGCATGTTTACTTTGAAACATCATTTATTCATTTTGGGACAAAATGTTCCCTTTTACACACTCTCAAAATTGTTGTTTTATACGTTTAAGAAATGGCTTCAAATTCATCACATGAAGTGCAAATACCACATTTATTCACTTTTTATTCAACTGCAAATACACCCGAGACAATTGGAGAGTAGTGGTGAATAACTTTAACCACTTAAAGAGGTGGTCAGTGACCACAAGAGCATTATTGATCACATTATGGGTAAATACCACTTGTGCTTCCAATACCAGAAACAATGAGGATTGTAAAAACGTTCACTTCCTCACCGTCTCAGTTGTATTTCCTAATGATCTTAAATTCCAGGACTGCCTTAACTTGTTTATGGCCTCTGGTCCTTCGTGCGTATGCTAATCCACATGAGGTCAAAAACAAAAATTTCTATTTCTGCAGTCTACAGGGTTTCTGTAGTCAAGGTGTAAATGAAGTGTAGCTAATTCATATAGTAGGCTAGATAAAAGGTGCATGTAATGCTCGGAGTACAGGGCCAGTAAGCACCTCAAGGTCCCAGCCACACTGTGTGTACTGTATGGCTTCCTGTGTAGCAAGCCCACAGCGTGGCCAATCTGTCCACCTGCTGTTAATCTGTGATGTCAAGCCAAGGCTCAGAAGACATTTACTGTATGCAGACTTGGGGCCAGCGTGGATTACAGGTCATGCCAACTGCCCTGCTCCAGTTGTGTCTATCTAGGGAAGGTACATGTCTAGACAGCTGTATATCTACCTATTTACACTGGCTAATATGCTCTAATTTTCAAGGTGTCTCCTACATGCATTTAGCAGTTTATGACATTACATATTAGCCTATTGTTTAGGTTGGATTATCTAGCCATGGTAGCAAAAACTGCATTTAAATGTAATTTTCCATGTGGTAGGTATTCTGTATGAATGCCACACATAGCCAACTCAAGGATTTATTTCTGTTTGTAAATATTAATTTGGCTGTACTATTGTACAGTACAGAAATAACATAAATCCCATGCTGTTCACTCCACTGGTGGCATTCAAAACCCCATGTTGAGAATAAAGCTTTGGCATGACTGAGCTGTACAGTTCAGTAGACCTGAATATGAACAGTAGGTTGTCTGCGAGGGACGTGCAGACATATCTCACTGCTATTCATCCCACATTCTCTTCCAACTATCTGGCCTCTGCCAATCCCAGTTTACGCCTTTGTGTGTTAATTGAGTGCTACAGGCCTCTCATCTGGTTACATGGCCCCACTTCACACTGCCTTGACTAATTCCATGTGTGTCTGATGAGAGTTCCCACTGTTACCATCACTTTAACAAGGCCTCATGAGTCAGTGCTGGAAAATGTTGCCATGTCATAACAGGCAGAACACAAACAATGTATTCTAGACAAAGCAGTACCAAAATGACCACAAAAGATTGATTAATGATCATGAGATAATGTAAGTAGCATAAAGTACAGAAGCTGGCACAGCACTTTGGGTGCTGGTCATATCTGTTGTACATCAAACTATTACCTTTAACATTTGATTAAATATGTCATCACTCAAATTCGACTGATCTACTTGCGACTCTTTCTGAATTTACTCATTTACTCAATACAGGTATATCTTGTATGTATTGTATGTGAAACTTCCCATGCGTGTCCTTGTCTCTGCTGCTAGGTTTCCACATGAAGAAAAAATGAGGTTAACATGTGAGAGCATGTTATAAAACCTAAAGCTTCAACCTTAGAGCGACCCAATGTGCTCAGAGTACACCAGCTCCATCTGTTTTCACCATTAAATGTGAACAACCAACACATGCCTGTGCGCCAATTCCTCGGCTTCTGCAATATCAAAAAACGACCCCCCCGTAGCTTTGGCGCTTAACGTTAAATACATATTATCTCCCTCTGCATTGTTGGGATTGCACCGTATTCAGCGACATTTAATCAAGCATCCCCTCCGTGTGGAGAGAGCATGGAGGCAGTCTGTTTAGCTAGAAAGTAGGTTAGGCGGTCACGGCTGTGGTTACACTTCGCTTCCTTGCTAGCAGGCAGACCGGGCTAGCCCTTCTCCCTGCTTTACGGCAGTGTAACGTTGCTCCCCAAACAATAACGTTAACCGCCTGCCATTAGCTTTGTGTAACCCATGTTGATCAAAAACGATGATGAAGACTTGAGCTGCTTTGATTAATCGGGGGATAGTTACCTAATTGTCCCTCGCTGATCGTTAACACGATTTGGTCCATGAGAAGAGAGCGGAATTCAACATCCTCGTCGGCGCAGTGCTCCTTCAGTGCCCGGAGGATCTGCACTTGAGGATACTCCTGGCTGATGCGCCGGTCGGTCACGAACCAGACTCGAGAACACATTTTTGGATGCGTGGATTTAAAAAAAAAAAGAAGAAGGTTAAAAAACCCAGTTGTAGTTGTAGCTGTAGGAGGCGGCAGGTGTGCGGCGGCACAGAGTGATCCGAAGGGCGGGCGGCAGTGGAATAGCACGGCGATGCTCACACAATGGAGACCTCGGCGGCTAGTGGTGCGAGCAGGCTGTAATGTAGCTAAAACCGGACCACGGGGCGACCTTTATCTGGACCGAACCGGCTAGGACGAATAATGTTCTATATCACCTTTGTTTCCCTTCGTATGCAGCCATTTAGTCTTCCCGGGGCGCAGTTAGTTGAATCCAGACCGCGCAAATTCGACGCAAGCGAGTCGAAACCGGTATGTCTCCCCGCAGAAACGTGTCTCCTTCGACCGAGAGGCCCGCAGGGGCAAACAAAGCTCAAGCTGTGTCGCTTTACAGCTTCCCCTCTCCGACTCTGAACTACCAATGAAGTTTTCCCGCGATCGCAGCGGCTGTACGGCGTTGCAAACCGCTAAGTCGCCGGTTTGTTACAATAAGCTAACCCACAACGACAATCCTCTCTGCTCCGTTGGCTGCTATCCACGAGGTACTGGTGCTGAAAGGCGCACGCGCTTCGTTTACAACTCCAGTCCCGCACGAGCCGTGCACAGAAACCGAGGCAGGTGTTGCGCGGAGTTCTGTCCGCCGAGAGCTGCATCCCCCTCGCGGGGGCGCGCGCAGCTAACGTGAAAACTAACCAAACGTTGTAATGGTTTCTAAGGCAAAGTACTGTTTGAAAACGGTATGATCTCTTTTGTGGGATGATAAATGATCAAGTCTATATTATATGAACGTTTAAAGTCGTCATCGTTTTCACTTTAGCTGTGCGTGCTCCCGCGATGGGCATGAAATTCTCGGGGGGGAGGCAGAACTCGGCACAACACCTGCCAATCTCAACTCGTAAACTCTCTCATTGTCCAAACAGCACGCGGAAGGTGTGGGCGAGGCGCGACTTCCCTAACCAATGAGGGAGGCTTAACAGAATAGGGTGGGCGGGTCTGGTAAAGGCGCGCGGAGTGCTGAATCAGTGCGTGGAGTCTGCAGTGCGCACGAGACCGCGCACTATCCGAACCGGTTAAGACCAGACTGTGCAAGGAGGTTTGGCGAAAACCGACAGCGTTGTTTCCATGCCGAAGTGGCAGGAGATGAAACAAGGTCATCACACAAGCCAAACTTACTACCCATCTTCCTTTTCTTTTCTTCTGTTATATGTTGTATTTTGAGCGTGGCCACTGTTTAGTAGTGCCATTCAGTGTGTCGGCTCAGTAGAACGCTGGATAATGGTGCGAAATTAGGCGAGTGACCCACTTCTCTTTCTCCTCCCTCTGCAAAGGGCTGTAGGCTACCGTACGAATATTGTTGGGGGTGGGGGTAACATAGCTAAACCAGATTACACAGACATGATACACATATTTTCAGATTCAGAGAGGTGTGCAATTCCTGAGGATATCGTTACCTCCGATGTCCATCACAAATAACATCCATAACCCCGCTTTAAAAAGACGCTGCTTAGAACTCCTAAGCTTGCCTGAGAATCATCACCAAGTTTTGTTCAGTATCATAGTAATCCAGTGATAGATGTCTGTACATCCATGGCTACAGTGCAAACAAAAACTGCTAAGAACTAATTCGGCACATTAATGGTGCTAATTTGCCGATAGCCTATGTAGAAAATATAGGCTAAAAGACCACCACTAACTCCATGGCAACGTTATATATCCGCTCCCAAAACACAAAAAACCCGTATAAAAGTAAGTCAAACCGTAATAAAACAAGTGAGTAGTATAGTGTAGTCCATTATATATAGCCTAGATTATATTTTTGGAACACGAAAACAATTTATTTTGTAATATTTTTAGGATGTCACATCAACATATGGTTCAAGGTCCTGGAACACTACACATAGCAAAGGGAAAATTCTGTGAAGTTACTGACATGCAACTAATATTGTATTAAAATAAACAAAACAGGAATAGTCATAAAAACTACAGCTGTGTATCAATAATCTAACCATTTGAAACCGTAACCCTTTTAATTAATTCCATCTGATGCACTCAAGTTTCACTACGGTCCCGGATGTTGACACCAGCTGCTGATCGTCATTGTAAAGCTGTTAAGAGAACAGATGATCTACATCACTGAATTTTTCTACAACAGAGATGTTGCAGAATATTAATCTTTTTTCTTAAAAAACCCTTCTACTTATAACTTAAACGCATACGTTATTTCTGCATCGTTTCTGTTGTGTTTCACCGAGTGGGGTGCGACTCTGCGCTTGCGCAACTTATCTCGCCTGCGAGCTGGGCGTGTTCCCGCGAGGCTGGATCAAGCTCTGCAGACATCAATAAGACAAAATGATTTGAAATGAAGTTACGTGACTCAACATCACTTCGCATCTCTTAATAATCCAGACACCGTTCATTAAATTATCAATTATAAGACAAAATAAGCTTATCAAAATAAATGAGTTGCCACATGCAGTAGCTGGTCACTCCTTTGGTGGCAGTAAGCCAATACCGCTTATTTATCACCATTTTTGTTAATAAATATATTACCGCGATATATTACTCATGTTGTCTTTAACATTATACAAGCGATGGATAGCCTCACCCTAGGGATTACAATGGAAAACCTTAAGTTAGCCTTGAGAAGTTGTTGTAACATAACCGGTTGGTTATGTTTTGTCTGCCTCCTGTAGCATTCCCTGAGCTAAACGCATTGCAACGTCGCAGAGCCAACAGGATGAAACCGGGCAGAGCCAGTCCTGCGTATCATGCGCTGCCCAATCATCAGAAAGTAGGGGGAAGGAGCCCAAGTAGACGCATTCCTCTTGACAAACGTCTCGTAGTCAGCAACAGACAGACGTTTTCTGCTGCAAGACCAACCTCCTATGTCATGTTCACTGCATAAACATACCCACCGACGTTTTACTGTGAAATTGCTGTAACCCATGTCACATTCCGTACCAAAATTAACTGTAGTAAAAGGCCATGTTTTAAAAGCATAACAGCAAAATACTGCATACTAGTTGTGCACATGGTGCAATGTTTGAGTAGAGCATCAGCACAGAACATTCAGTTAATAGTCCCTCACAATTGAGAAATAAGAGAAGTCAGTTAATGACTGAAAAGGTAAACAACATGTTTTCACGTGGTTATTCACAGTTTAATTATATTTGATTAAATGCATGATTAAGTGCACACTCAAAGAGCCTTCAACAGATTTTGTTTTAAACTATGGGAACTCATTGTCTTAGGCTTGAGAGTCCTCTGGTGGTGGACTCACAGATTACAATAGTTAGCCAAGAAGAAATTCCAAGGTTATTCATCTTCTTAATCTTAATGTTTAAAACGTTAAACGAAAATGAATGGCATAGGCATATAGGCTACGTATAATTGTTTTATTTTTTTAAATACATTTTAGAAATGTTCAAATTAATCACGTGTTCTTATTGTTGTTTAGATTTTTTTTTTCCAGCATTACAGTCTTATAATGTCTTCCAGCCAAAGTGTGGCCTATGCAATTCATTAAGAAAAACAGACCTTTCAGCACCATATATTGTTGCTTTGAAAATCCTCAAATTCTGTGGCAGATATTTCATGAATCATTGCAAGCACCACCACCACCATCCAGACGAGTGCAGCACTGAGTTGCTTCTAAGCCTAACACTGATAAAGTCAGAATGGATCCGTGTGCCTGAGCTCACAGACACAAACACATCAATTGTTCCATGTCTCACAATATAGTGGTGTTAAAAGATTGATGAAGAAATTATATTACAAGAATACTGATCAGAAATGTACCTGTATAGTTGTTTTGACAGCAATTATGTTTGCCGGAAGCTCCAGACATAGGCCTAAAGATAAAATACTCTGCTTGAAATAATAATAAAGGTGTCTGGTATGATTTTCCTCAAAAAAAGTTCAAATAAAATTTAATTAGAATTTAGTAAAATTCCTCCTTTCTTAAAATATATTCCTTCTCCCTCAATGAAACATCCATTATATATAAAGATGCAACTTCATTATCAAGTTTCCAACAAACTTGATAATGAAGTTGCACATTGGACCACGGCTGCTGGTTTCCCAACTAGTTGTGATATCGAAAAACCACGCTTGCTTTAAAAATCAGATTTAAGCTGAGCACAGAGAAACATTCCCTCTTTCCGCAGATAAATTTAAATACAGCATTCGAGTGTCTAAATCTGCACATACAGTGGGTACGGAAAGTATTCAGACCCCTTTAAATTTTTCACTCTTTGTTTCATTGCAGCCATTTTCCAAAAATCAAAAAAGTTCATTTTATTTCTCAATAATGTACACTCAGCACCCCATCTTGACAGAAAAAAACAGAAATGTAGAAATTTTTGCAAATTTATTAAAAAAGAAAAACTGAAATATCACATGGTCATAAGTATTCAGACCCTTTGCCGTGACACTCATATTTAACTCAGGTGCTGTCTATTTCTTCTGATCATCCTTGAGATGGTTCTACACCTTCATTTGAGTCCAGCTGTGTTTGATTATACTGATTGGACTTGATTAGGAAAGCCACACACCTGTCTATATAAGACCTTACAGCTCACAGTGCATGTCAGAGCAAATGAGAATCATGAGGTCAAAGGAACTGCCTGAAGAGCTCAGAGACAGAATTGTGGCAAGGCACAGATCTGGCCAAGGTTAAAAAAAAATTTCTGCTGCACTTAAGGTTCCTAAGAGCACAGTGGCCTCCATAATCCTCAAATGGAAGACGTTTGGGACGACCAGAACCCTTCCTAGAGCTGGCCGTCCGGCCAAACTGAGCTATCGGGGGAGAAGAGCCTTGGTGAGAGAGGTAAAGAAGAACCCAAAGGTCACTGTGGCTGAGCTCCAGAGATGCAGTCGGGAGATGGGAGAAAGTTGTAGTAAGTCAACCATCACTGCAGCAATCCACCAGTCGGGGCTTTATGGCAGAGTGGCCCGACGGAAGCCTCTCCTCAGTGCAAGACACATGAAAGCCCGCATGGAGTTTGCAAAAAAACACCTGAAGGACTCCAAGATGGTGATAAATAAGATCCTCTGGTCTGATGAGACCAAGATAGAACTTTTTGGCCTTAATTCTAAGCGGTATGTGTGGAGAAAACCAGGCACTGCTCATCACCTGTCCAATACAGTCTCAACAGTGAAGCATGGTGGTGGCAGCATCATGCTGTGGGGGTGTTTTTCAGCTGCAGGGACAGGACGACTGGTTGCAATCGAGGGAAAGATGAATGCGGCCAAGTACAGGGATATCCTGGACGAAAACCTTTGTGTGAGTGCTCTGGACCTCAGACTGGGCCGAAGGTTTACCTTCCAACAAGACAATGACCCTAAGCACACCGCTAAAATAACGAAGGAGTGGCTTCACAACAACTCCGTGGCTGTTCTTGAATGGCCCAGCCAGAGCCCTGACTTAGACCCAATTGAGCATCTCTGGAGAGACCTGAAAATGGCTGTCCACCAACGTTTACCATCCAACCTGACAGAACTGGAGAGGATCTGCAAGGAGGAATGGCAGAGGATACCCAAATCCAGATGTGAAAAACTTGTTGCATCTTTCCCAAAACGACTCATGGCTGTATTAGATCAAAAGGGTGCTTCTACTAAATACT